TTCTGAATGCCTCCAGGTAGATGTGATCAGGAGGAAATGGGCTTCCCTTTTCACTCTTCTTCCTGAGAAGTTTCAAGATACCACTGTTGGTCGTTTTGACGTAACTTAGGATTTAACTTTTGGCCTATTTCCTCTTTTGTCTGCTTCTCCGGCTCCACAATCCCCGTTCAGTCCCTTTTTCTAGCTGAAACAGTTCAAGGCCAGCTGTGGCCGTTTGGTTTTAATTGGAAACTGTCTCTTTAAATTTCGAGGAGATCTGTGCGCATGTGTAGTAGAACCCTCTGAGGGTGGGGCTGGGGTACCCACTAGCTCAGGCACCCCTATAGTCACCAAAATGGAGGTGCACAGACAGCAAGGGACCAATGAACAGATACCAAAAGAAAAGAATGTCCACACCTTTACCTCAGTGGTTCTGCCAGGCGTCTGTGGCAGCTCTGATCCTTCCCCCACGTGGTCTCACCCAAGATGGCGGCTCCTGTGGCAGCCGAGTGTCCCAGACTTGAAAGCAATAGATTTCTTGCTTCTGCCACAAATTGCCCCAGCTGTGAGCCTCCCAGCCTTCTAAGTATTCCTTTATATGTGGGTCAGAGTTCTGGAACCATCCCCTGAATCTGCTTGGTCGAGTATTCTGTGTTGTTGTTGGCGGAGCTCTCTGCTACACGTCCACCCGATCCACCATCTTGTTTGTTTTCCGCTCCACGTTGACTTTTTCTCCACCTTTTCAACATAGCTTTCTACTCACCTTGGTCCATCGGCCCTTTCTGTTCCTCTCTCCAGGAGCTGGCTTTCTCCCCGAAATTCTTCAGTGACCAGAAGTTCTTCAAAACCATTCCAGTAACTGCCAGGCATGGAAGAAATGTGTTGGTAGATGAGGGAATACAAATACAGATAGTGTTGTGCCTGATGGCAATCAGGGTCTGGGTCTGTACCACTGGTTTCTTTTCAGTAAACATTGTTGGAGTCCATCTACTAAGAGGCACGTGGACAGTTTGTGAAACACGTTTTTATCACACATTACTTGTTGTTGTCATTAGCTGCCCTTGAGTCCTCCTTTGGCTCCTGGGGATCAGACTACTATGGGACATACAGTTTTCATTGTCTGGTTTTTTGTTTGTTTTTTTACGTAAATCACCAGGCCTTTCTTCCTTGTCTGTCTGAGTCTGGAAGCTCCGCTGAAACCTAGACAGCATCATAGCAACACACGAGACTTCAGTGATGGGTGGGGCCGCAGTTGGGGTCACTAACTGGGACTTGAACCCGCACCTCCACACAGAAGGCCAGGATCCACCGCTAGAATGCCCATGCCCCTTCCACACATGACTCTGTATTACCTTTTTTTAATTTAATTTTTCATTAGACAAGTAACGCATGACAAGTAAATACTCTCCTTAGCTGTAATTGGAAACACTGTTCAGCTCTGGACTCCTGGGATGGCTCTGTAGGATCACCACTGGACTGTGAACCACAGGTCAGCAATTCAAACCCACCAACTGTTCCTCAGAAACCCTATACAGGGTCGCGATGAGTGGGAACCGACTCAATGGCACTTTACAACAGTCAGCTGTGATGCTGAATAGATTTCAGCGGAGCTTCCAGATTCAGACAGACTAGGAAGAAAGGCCTGGTGATCTATGTAAAGAAATCAGTCAGTGAAAACTGTATGAAGGCCACCACTGCCAATCCCAGCCCTTTGCCCTCTCCCTCATCGTGACCAGGGTCCTCTGTTGGGCATATGTCCTTCCACACCTTTTCTGATCTATATTCCCAAGGAGCCCTTGTGGCACTGTGGGTTAAGTGTCAGGCTGCAAACTGCAAGGTTGACAGTTCAAACCTACCAGCCACATCACGAGAGAAAAATGAGGCTGTCTGCCCCTGTAAACACTGACTGTCTTGGAACCCCTGTGGAGCATTGTGCTCTGAGTGGACTGGGCGGAAGTGGGTGCTATCGTGGTAGGTTTCATGGGAAATGCATAACACTTTGAAGGAAAAGCTGCTTGTGTGTTTTAAATGAATGCTATAAAACCACACCTATTATTCTGCAGAGACATCCTGGCAGCCCAGTGGTTAAGTGCTCAGCTGCTAACTCAAAGGTCGGCAGTTCAAACCCACCAGTGGCTCTGTGAGAGAAAGACCTCATGATCTGAACCCCTTTGGGGCAGTTCTAGTGTGACCTATATATAGCAGGGCTTCTATGAGTCCAAGTCGACTAGGCAGCAGTGGGTTGGTTTCATAACTTGCTTTTTTCTATCAGCAGTTTGTCTTCGAGATATTTAGTGTTGATGCATGTAGAACTCCAACTCATCCTTGCTAACGTCTGCATAGCCCAGCCTACTCCTGCCAGGCTCAGCATTCCACCTGTTGTTGGATATTAAGGCTGTTTCCGTTTCTCACTCTTTCATAACCCCGGTGACTGTTCTTAAAAAGCCTGCCTGAATGTATACATGAGTAGTTCTTGAGGCCAGGTATGAAGAACAGGCCTTACTGAGCCCTAGGACCCAAACATTTTTTACACATCGGTCATGGGTACGATGCTACCCTTCAGAGTGCTTGCTCCCATCTGCCTTCTTTCGCCCTGGGCGAGGGTGCCCGATGCCCACAGCCTCTTGTCCTTGACTCCACTAGACTTGGGAGACAGACTGATGGTTGCTGCAGAACAGCAGGAAGGTTGCATGTGGCAGCCTCTTTCTGGTCACTGCTGCTTACTTTCTTGCTGTGAGATGCCGTCCATCCAGTCACATCTGACTGATGGCAGCCCCAGGTGACCGAGAAGAACTGTGATCCATGGACTGTCATCTTCACTGTAATGTCTATGGGGACAGATCACCTCATCTTTCTCCGGCAGAGCCACTGGGCTGGGAGCCCTCTTTCTAGGTGATCCATGGGTCCCACCGCTTCAGAGCGCCTGCCTCCCCTTGAGCCTGAGTCACCGTGGTCTTTTTTCTCCCCCCTCTGCAGGACAGGCAGCTGAAGTCACCGTGTTTTTGCTCCTCCTCTGCAGGATATGCAGGTGACGGGCGTTGAGGACGACAGCCGTGCCCTGAACATCATCATCCACAAGCCTGCATCCAGCCCCCATTCCAAGCCCTTCCCAATCCTCCAGGCCACCTTTGTCTTCTCAGACCACATTCGCTGCATCATCGCCAAGCAGCGTCTGGCCAAGGGCCGCATCCAGGCCAGGCGCATGAAGATGCAGAGGATAGCTGGTAAGTGATGGACCCTGTCAGAGGGTCTGCTGGGCCCTGAGGGGACAGAGCAGCCACTGGACTGTGGGTGTGACCCTCACACTGGCCTCAGGCCACCAGGAAGAGGACAGGTATCTTTCAGGAGTTCATTATGCTCTTAGTGAGGAAAGTCCACTCAGAATTGGTGAGTGATTTTGAGAGTCTCGTGGGCTCTGTGGAAGAGAAGGCCATGAAAAGGCAGGCCTCCCTGTGATCTTCCATCTAGGAATAAACATTCTCATTCTTCCACACTGGAATTTCCCGCTACATGTGATCCTTCAGACAACCTTGAGTTCATTAGGGCCTGTTCAACCCATTTTACAGAAGAGGAAACTGAGGCTCAGTGGCTTGTCCAGAGTCATAAAGGTTGGCAGAACTTCTGCTCTCAATCACACAGCTCCTTCTTCTCCTCCCTCCCCACCCACCTCAGTGAGTGTCATGGGACCTGCACGCTTGTGTTCACAAGATGCCTTCGGAGTCAAGAAGGCCCAAGCTGCCCTAGTAGTAAAGACCACTGACCAAGGACAGTCACTCAGTAAGGTGGAAGACCCAGCACTCCTTGGGGGAAAGGCACCTTGCCTCAGAGGATGATAAACTGCCGTTCTCAACAGATCCAGCACCTTTCAGTTAAGGCACTAATGGGCCTTGGTGGGCATTTGCTGGGAGAATTTCCCGCCCGCAGCTGGACCAGGGGCTTTCTCAAGGGATCGCCTTAAACTAAACCCTGGAGGCCTGGTTTCTGGGCTCTGATTGGTCTGGGAGGGCCTGCATTCCATGCACCTTCCTCAGGTCCACAGGATCATTACAGAAGCGTTCTGTAATGTGCAAAGTGACTGAAATCATTCAGCCCTTTTCTTTTAAGATTTATTTTCAAAGTGCTTTTCTTTCTTTCTTTCTTTTTTTAATGTAAAATAATTTCTCATGCTGTCATGAAGGCTGAATATTTCATGTGAAAATTGAGAATTATGCCACAAAATGGCTGTTAGAACTCACACCTTGGGTATTTCTTAAATTGATTTTTAAAAAGCCATATTGTTAGATCATGAGATTTGTTTATAACGAGGCGAGCAAAAGTGACAGGTAAACACACACATGTGATACATGTATATTCTCTTTCACACACTTCTCATGCACACACACAGGTGTGTGTCTATGTATATTTGTGAATGGGTAGAATGTTCAGGGCAGAATTGGTCCCATTTACTATGGGGTCTGAAACAGCGCTGGAATCTAGGCCTTGACAAGGGACGTGTCCATGTGAAACTGAGAATCCCAAGTGGAGATGAGCCCTGTGTCAGTTTCATCTGAGGAGCGACCCTAGTTCCATTGAGTGCCCCTCTGGACACTGGCTGTGTTGAATCTCTTTAGTGTTGCGTTGGTCTTCTCAGCTCAATGCTTACCTTCCCGGTATTTCCCCAGTACCGTGCCTGCCAGAGCCACAGCGCTTTGGTTATGACACCCCTACCCCCTTCGGTGCTGAGAATGAACCATGGTGTTGTTTCAACACAGCCCTCCTGGACCTCCCAATCCAGCCGACCACTGAAGTCCTGGGGTTCGGACTCGGGTCCACCGCTCCCACCCAGCACCTGCCGTTCCGCTTCTATGAGCAGTGCCGCCGGGGCAGCAGCGACCCCACGGTGCAGCGATCCGTGTTTGCCTCTGTGGACAAGGTGCCAGGTAAGACGGCCCACAACCTGTGCCACATCCCCTTCCCATCAGAAATCCAGGCAGCCCGAAGCTCTGGTTTTCTTAGAACAATAAAGAATATAGCGCAAGATGAAACACAAGCCCAGGGGAAAAAATCTTGGCTTCATGTTTGGTGTTTTGCTGCCTTGGTTTGAGTTTTCCAGAGATTTCTTGGGGATGTGGAAGAAGTTCTCAGAATGAAGACCAAGAAGTTTCTTGGAAATTTCTTGGAAATACTTGAGAGATTAGTGATGAAGTTGTGGGAAAGGAGTTTCCTTCTCCTTGTAAGATAAGTAGGAAGAGATAGCGTGCACTTCCTGTTGCAACCCCCTGAGAAGTGAGACTTCGCAGGAAGCCCCTCCTAATCCCATCAGGGGCCTCTCTTCCCCTTTCACCCAAGTCATCTCTGGCCACCCCCCTGCTCCTTCAAAAAAAGATAAACATAAATCGGAAGTTCAAGGCCAACTTGGCAGAGCAGAACAAACAGCTTCTCCCACAGAAAAGTGGGTTCCTGCTGACCCATGCTGCTTTAAGTAACTCCTTATGCACCCCAGTCCCTCGAAAGTGAACATTTCTCTGCATTACAGACTGCAAACAGCAGCCAAAGCCTGCCCCTGCAATTTAACAGCTGAAAGATGAGGCTTTCTGCTCCAGTGAAGATTTACAGCCTCGGAAACCCTGTACAGGGTCGCTATGGATCGGAACCAACTCCACAGCACATAACAACCACCACCACCACTGCTAGAGTTCAGAACTTACATTGCAAGTTTTTCAAAAGTGACTTGTTTTACAACAAAATGTAACCATAAAAACTTACCCAAATTAGGGTTCTTGTTTATCCCCCAGCAGCCCATGATTTATTTATAGGCAGTGCCCGGATTATGAATGAGTGCTGTTCCTAAATCTGTCTTTAAGTCTTATTTGTTCATGAATTGCAACAGTTAGATATGGTTTGTATCTAACATCAGTTAGTCCATCGTTTGCTAAATAGCGTACAGTGCACCTTTCTTTGCATAAAAAACATTAAAGACACACTTAAGATACATTAAAACATCTTTAACATAATAATATAGTAGTAATAATGTTTTGATGCACATCGCAAAGTAGCCCCCATTTCTTATTATAAACCATTGTTGAGTACTGTCGAGTTAAGTTCCTACTCATAGCGACCCTGTATAGGGCTTCTAAGGCTGTACGTTTTTGTAGGAGCAGAAAGCCTCATCTTTCTCCCAAGGAGTGCCTAGTGGGCTTGAACCACTGACCTTGTGGTTCACAGCCCAGTGCTTAGCCACTGCACTCCCTATAAACCATTAAATTCTTAATATAGACTTTAAGAGGGTTGGTTTCTAGCTACAGGTTGTATTTAAGTCAGAAGTTTGTAACTGGAGGACTGCCTGTATCTTATTTTTAGGTTGTTGGTTTAAAAAAATAAATACACTCCAGCCATATGATTCTTAAAAATCCAAGCAAAGTACAATCTGATGAACTTGAGCTATACTTATGGATTTAGTAGCTGAAAATACCAACTGAGAGGTAAAGAGTCTTTATTTACAGCAAGTATCAATCCTATCCCCTCGGTATACAGGGTACATAGGGATGGGCAACTTTGTCATTGGCTACCTAAAATGAGGGGGGCGATAAAGACAAGAAGTGACTGGCTTACAAGGTTTCAAGAGGGAGTTTAGTTTCAGAGTGTGCAGAGGCGGGGAAGGTAGAGCACCAGTGAATAGTTTTCATCTTGTCTAGATGGATCTGGTGAAAAGAAATGGGGATAAGATTCTTAGGATTCAATACTGAGAAATTGTTATCATGACTAATTGCGACTGTCACAACTATAAAGGTAGACGTTTTGTAACAGAAACGGGGGATTAGTTAATCGTACAATACAGAAACAGAGGACCCTGGGACCATCAGAGGAGAAGAGCACAAGCAGAGGGCGGGACCCCATCCAGAGAAGCAGCGACACCAGGGAGAAAAGAAAACAAAAAATGCAAGCAAGGGCGTGATAATATGAAAATCCAGCATTCCCCAGCTTTGCTCCACAAGTAGCCACTGTTGAGCAAGTTCTTGCATCTCCTTCCAGAAATGTGTATTTGCATGGCCTGTGTACGCTGACTGCTCATTTGTTTGCCCACCTTTGTTAGACTGTGTATGCAGTTGTTGTTGTTGTTGTTGTTATGTGCCATGGAGTCAGTTCCGACTCATAACGAACCCTGTACCGGGTTTCCGTGGCTGTAAATCTTTACGGGAGCAGAACGCCTCATCTTTCTCCTGCGGAACAGCTGGTAGTTTCGAACTGCTGACCTTGTGGTTCGCAGCCCAATTCGTAACCACTATGCTACCAGAACTCCTTGTGTATGCAGTACTGCTCCACTTTGTGGGTTTTCCCTGAGTGATAAGACATGTAACTTGTCAAATCTATAATTCAACTTCACTCGCATCAGTAGTTGCCTGGGATTGGATCCTGTGGGTAGACCAACACGTCTTTCATAGTCACTTCCTAGTGGTGACCGTTTCAGTGTCAATGCGAATATGCTGGAGGTATCTCTTGTCTATGGGATAAATTCCCAGCTGTGGGTCTGTCAGGCCCAAGGGGATGTGTTCTTCTTTCACACTGATGTTGTGGTCCCAACCTGACCTCTAGAGAAAGGGCACCCATTGTTTATTCTGCCACTAAGTGCTTGTGACTGACTGTTTTCACTCTTAAAGCATATCTTGGTCTCAATTGTCACTCTGTCCCTGGTTTCAGCTGTGATTCTGCCTGCGCCAAGGTCTGGAGAAGTCTCTTGATTGCTCCACGCCAAGGTCTGGAGAAGTCTCTTGATTGCTCCATGTTGTGTAGGTTGAACCTAAACACATAGTCCACTAGATCCCCATCAGCTTGGTTTCTTTCTGTCGGGTCAGTGGGACTTGGGTGTTTCTTTCAGCTTGGATACTTAGGGGTTAATGAGAAAAGCCCTTTTTGGAGTAAGGCGGGGTCAGTAAATAAATAGTATCAAATGTCATGTTCTTGTTGGCATCTCATCCTTTTCCTGGTTGCCCAGTGCTTTACAGTGGCTTATTACTAATATCTCCTGCCCTCCCACCACGTTCCCTCCCCCCACTCCCCAACCCACGCCTGCGGGCTTCCAGGGGAGGTGTGAAATCATCAGCTGCTGGAGGTGTGGTCCAGTCTGCCCAGTCAAGCTGAGGCCCCAAGCTCAAGCATATACAGCTGGGACTGTAGCCAATCAAAGGCAGCAGCTCTGGCAGCATCCAGCCCTCCTGACTGCCCCTGGCAAATGCTGCTGCTTAGGTCCAGAGTGTGCCTCCAGTGTGACTCCTCTGTGCCCTTGGGACTGGCAGTGTGACCCAACTCGCTCACAGCCCCTCAGTCTGTGTCCATGGGGGGAGGGACGAGGGTAGGAGCTGGCCTCACCTGGCGCTTCCTACTGACGTGGTGCTCCTCTCTACCTGCATCTCTCTCAGTGCTGGCCTCATGGCCACTTAATGCTCAAGCAAGTATAACCCTTCACTCCTCTCTGCTCCCCCTCACTGACCAGCGCCACCCCCAAAACACACCACACCTTCTATCTCCCTCCTCACCACCCGAGTCTCTCCTGAGACCATGGCAGCCGCAGGACTCTCCGGCCTTCAGCCCTCCCTCCTCCCTCCCATGTAGCCAGAGGGATCTTTCTAAAACATAAATCAGTGCCGTCATGCCCCTGCCCACAACCCTCCAGTAGCTACCCGCTGCATTAGGACAGAGTCCAACTCCCTGGCTCTGACCACCAGGCGCCATGTGACCGGCTCCATCCGACCGCTCACTGTGCCCCACACCCTGCGCCCCAGCCCCTCTGCTGCTGCACCCCCAAGTCAGCACTTCTCAAACTTGCCTCAGGATCCCTGAATACTCTTCAGAATGCCCAGAGACCCCAAAGAATTCAGTTTATGTGGATTGTCTTTGTTGCTATTTATGGGATTCAAAATTGAACCCCCAGAATATTTGCCTGTGTATGTATGTATATATATTAAAATAACAAGAATGCACCCATCACATGTTACATAAAGACCATCCTTTTTATGAAAAACATGCGTCTGCTTTCCATAACAAAGTTTTACAGTTTGGCAAATGAATGGTCTTTAATCTCTGAATGCTGTGAAGATGAGGACATTTGCAATGTACCCGAAGCACTTTGATGAAGGAACTGAGATGCAGCTGATTTTAAGCAGCCTTCTGCTACGTGATTTCCATAGCGAAGCATCTGAGGTGCACATCTGGGGAGGGCAGATGCACCGCCGAGAGAGATGATGGATGGATGGATTGATACAGAGACGATAGAGAGCTAGAGAGAATTGTTTGCATGCAGATTGGATTCACCACCACCCCCACACACACGTACACAGACAAACACACACTTACTCAGGGGTTGCAGTATCCACAGAGAGCAGGTCTCCAGGGGAGCTGGGCACAGCTGAAACCAGGTGTGTCTCCACCTGTGCCATCCACAGGGACTGCGGGGCTTCCATAAGACCCCTTCTCGCCTTCTGCAATGGCAGTGCCCCTTGTCCCTTGCCATAGACCCCACTGTTACAGCCTCGCAGGCCGCCTGAGATCCTCATTCCTTCCTAAGGAATAACTCACCAGGAACTAAGCCGCTCTTGGCCGCGTGCCTCGGGGTGACTGACAGAGGAGTTTATTCTATTCTGACAAGTCTTCGGATTTTATCTATGGGCTTGGGTAATTGTCAGAGAACAATCCGGCTCCCCTTTAGAAGCTATAAACGATTAGATTTGATGAAAATATACCTTTCATTTCCTTGAGGAGATATTAAAGGAGAGTATAAATCAGGGCTAATAGGTGAGTAGCCACTTGGGTGTATTTTTTTCTTCTTCCATTTGGCGTGGAAAGAAATCACAAATCCTATTTATTGGCTGGTTTTATGTTGATGGTACTCTTCCCCACAGAACATCAACTCCATGAGAGCAGAGGCTTGGGGGAGCAGCTGGCC